CCTGCTGAAGACTTTTTAATATTTAGAGTATGTTTGATAGAGCAAATATCACAGAGTTCAGTCACCTGCAGTTTTGGGGACAGCAGGCTACATGTTTACTCAAACACAAACATTCACAGATGTATTAAACACACCAACATAATTGACTTTAATTTCATTCTTTAGATTTTTTTTTTTTTTTTTTTTTTTGGAACTTATTTCTAATGACTTTTCCTTTAAACTATGAGATTTTGCCGACAGTTTAGGGTCCTATGGAGTTACAAGGTTCAGTCACAAGCTCTTTTTAATACTTTTTATTGGTTACATATATATATAAAACCCACATATAGGCATAAAGAGTGACCAATAGCATTGATTTATATATAAAAAAAAGGATATATGAGGCTTCCGCCAGACAATGACGAGATGTAAATGAAAAGTTCTTTGATGTACAGTATGTGACTGGTGACTAGAGGATTTTGTGTTTTTATATTCTCATCAGTGTTTCAGGAGCGTCCGGAGATCCCTCCCACCCACGCTCAAGCCACGGCTCGGAGGATCTCTCCAGAGAGCTACTCGTATACAGCATCCATCCTCAGGCTGCTCCGCAACAAAGCCTTCATCCTCCTCGTCATCACTTACGGTGAATGTGTTACTCTGCGCACAACAGATCCATTCAGGACCTCAAACTGTGGTGCATTATGCTTGCTGCCATTTAAACACACAGTCGTAGTTTGTTACTGAGAACATAAGCATGAATAGTTCTATAGTCAGTGGTGTTTGCTCATGTAAGCAGGACTGTTACTGCTCATACATGGGGTTTGTGGTTTGAACAAACTCCTAACACTAACTATTAAACTTCAGCATATCTAATGATAACTTGCATGAATGATACCTCAGATCACACAGGTGCTGTTACTTACAGTCATAGTCACATTGTGCACTGTAAAAATGGTTAAAAAATAAATAAATAAACTCACAAAAAAAACCGCAGTGAAGGGAAATGATCCATATTATATTATATTTTGAATATTATAGAATATTTTAACTAGGATTCTGGTGCCAGAAAGGTGGTTATGGGCCAGAAAAATTGACTTTGCACCTTCTAGTCCCAAACCAGGAAGCCAAATTGCATAGCAGTGTTGATTTCTCAAAAATAAAAATCATTTTTTAGTAAATTGCTGTGGATTTGATGTTATACCTTTAAATTCAAATATATATTTTAGAATATTTTAAAAGCTTGAGGTCAGTAAGGGGTCATTACATTTTTTTTTAAATAATTTAATATTATTTTTCATCAAGGATGCCTTAAATTGATCAAAAGTGACAATAAAGACATTTATAATGTTACAATAGATTTCTATTTCAAATAAATCCTGTTCTTTTGAACTTTCTATTCATCAAAGAATTCGGGGGGGAAAATGTTTCAAGGTTTCTACAAAACTATGAAGCAGCACAACTCTTTTCAACATTGATAATAATCTGAAATGTTTCTTGAGCAGCAAATCAGCATCATAGAATGATTTCTGAAGGATCATGTGACACTGAAGACTAGAGTAATGATGCTGAAAATTCAGCTTTGCATCAAAGGAATAAATTACACTTTAAAATATATTTAAATAGAAAACCGGTATTTTATTATTTCACAATACTGCTGTTTTTACTGTATTTTTGATCAAATAAATGCAGCTTTGGAGAGCATAAATATGTATTAAGCATTTATTAGATATGACTAGCTTGTAATGGCATGAAGGTTAATTTAATGTAATTTTAATTTGCATGATTGTGCAAGTGAATGGAAAATAACTATTTTTCTTCTCAAAAAGTAAAAATCAAGTACTAAACAGAAATAGTCATACCTTGACTGGCATGAACTACGTTAACACCAGAGCCGGACAGTAACTAAGTACATTTACTTGAGTATTGTACTTAAGTACACTTTTTGAGCATCTGTACTTTACTTGAGTATTATTTTTTCTGGGAACTTATGACTTTAACTTCACTACATTTGAAAGACTCAAGTAATGGAGTTGAGTACTTTGTCCACCTCTGGTTAACACTGAGTTTATGATCTATCCACACACACACACACACACCCATGCAACACTTGCATGAGAAGCCTGTAGCTGCATTTAACCTGGCTGAACATTGACAGAAATAATCCTGCAGGAATGCAGAGCTCTTTATATCTTTACAGCTGCTTCAGAAATGTGAAGACATTTATTGCTTACTAGATACACACCAAATCAGCAGTCTGCCAGTTTATGCTTTTAGCATGTTTCTGTCTTTGACTTCATCTGTTTTTCTTCATCAGGGCTGAATGTTGGCTGTTTCTATGCTGTCAGTACGCTTCTCAACCGAATGATCATTGAACACTATCCTGTAAGTCCCTCCCACCCACCTCCTATCCAGCCAATCACGAGAGCCCCTGACCTACACCCAATTTACATAATAACTGAATAGATTTTTTAGTTTTGTGAGAATCATCCTCAAACCTAATCTTGAACTTGGTAAAACAATTATCTTTATTTAAAATGTTTCAAGTCTTAATACTTTTCCTTTTGTTATACTGGGATAAATCATACTGGGATGTATGCAAAAATTGTTGGATATGACGCCCTACCTAGAAAATTTTCCACCAGCCTCCACTGGAATGCAAGTGAATATTTGCTCTGCTTTAAATAGGGAGAGGAGGTGAACGCCGGCAGGATCGGCCTCACCATCGTGATCGCTGGCATGGTGGGATCCCTCATCTGTGGGATCTGGTTAGACCAATCTAAGACATACAAGTAAGAGGCTGGATTTTAATCTTGAAATGTCCTTCAGACAGCGACAGTGCTCGATAAATGTTTGTCTTCATTCCTCCTTGAAGATAAGTGTGTTGTTGAGTCCTTCCCCCCATGAGTCTGTTCACATGCTTTGGTTTAGTGTGTTTGTCCAGGTGTTTGAATCACTGACCCATGAACCTAGACCTTAGTGACCCCGTGACCTTTTGTCTAAGTGTATTTGACCCCTCGCAGCATGCCTTCCCCTCCTGGACATTGTGATGTTTCTTTTGTTCAGCAGAATGAAGGACAAAATGTCTTAGTGTAAAAACTTACCTTGACCAGGGTTTCCCATACATTGATTTATTTGTGGCGGCCCGCCACAAATAGATTTTCCAAAAGGCTTTGACTTCGTTGAATAAACACGAGCACTGCACGTTTCAAAGTCAAAACGCGGCATGGGTGTTTTTATATAAATGTATCTTTTTTGAAGGGAACCGATTGTCTTCAGAAAAGTTTTGATGTCATTTTCATTTAATCTTTCCTATAATGCCTAACAAAGCAGCGTTTATGAGCACAGCGCTGCTTTGTGTTCTGCCGTTACCGGGGAAACCACTATTTCTGCCGCTCTTAAAGCGCCTCCTGCTGTAAGCGTGTGAATTTGCACTTTCAATAAGCCCGTCTGCTGTTTTATATTTACATTATATACTTATATATTTCCCCCAGGCGAAGTGCCGCCATACATAGAGTGTAAGTCTGTGGGAAACACTGTTGACACTTTCCACACACAATACTGCACTGAAATGACAAATGAATAATGTGGTGGGTGTTTCTTCAACTTCAGACAATATTGTGTCACTGGAGTTCACTGATATTTACATTTGCTACTTTTCAAAGTTTGTGATCAGTAAAAATTTTTAAAGGGTTCATATGATGTTGCTAAAAAGAACATTATTTGGTGTATTTGGTGTAATGAAATG